TCTACAGTGCACCTGGAAACTTCATTTCCAGCCCTGCCCAGTACTGTTCTAGAGTCAAACATGACCACACATGCAAACTGGACATGTTAGACGAATAGAACAAGGTATTTTCACTTGTGCCGATTTCCCATAAGATTCAGACCACTCTGGCCATTGGAGACAAGGAGGGAGACACAGGAAAATTCTGATGGAAATCCAAAAGGCTGTAAGTTTCATGAGGGCCTGGACGGTGCTGCCACATTCACTTCTGAAGCCTGGGGCCTGGTACCTCACCTAGTGGTGCTCGATATCCATGTGTTTGCTAGTTGAATGTAAAGGCAGTCTGTCCAGTCCTGCTACAGACTCTCCCTCCCTTCCTGCAGGGGGCTCTTGCCCAGATGGTTAGCAAGGGTGTTAGACCGGGACCCTGGTTTCCACAGATGACCAGGACACTGGCTCAGAGACTGACCACGTTTCACTAACCTGAGTTTCTTCTGGAATCCCTGCATTAATGTGACATTCCTCTTGAGAGTTCCTTTTCCATGTCCACCATGGGAATCCCCCAAGATACTGAGAATAAGGTGATACAGGGCCCATCAAGTTTCTGAGGAAGCAACTGGTGTTCAAAAAACATCAGGAAATACTAATTCCCTCTCTGTTCCTCTGCCCCCTTCTGTCCCCGCTCTGGAAGCACGGGAGGAACCTCATCAGGCCCCTGACAATCTGCACTCACAGCTGAGGATGGGGTGCAGTGGGTGCAGCCCTCCTCTCCAGGACACACCTCCGGTTCCCTCTGCTCTCCTGACTGGGTTGGGAGGCCACACACCTCCCCAACACGCTCTGATGGAAATTCTCAGAGTTCAAGGCTGGGACCTCCTAGACTGGGTCTCAAGTGAGCTTTTCCATATCTCCTGCCAAGCTTGCCTGTCAGGTAGGAAACAGATCAGAGCAGAGGGGCAGGTCCACCCTCCCCCACACTCTACCTGCGTGAGCCGCATTCTGGACGAGCAGGGTTAGGGGTGTGGACTTGAGAGGCAACTCTCAGATATTCTCCTTGTATCCATCTTCTCCTGGCCAGTGCATTGTATAGAGGGCACAGGAGTGATGCCCAGGTGGGGACAGTTATTCTGAATGAGAGGTTCTCACTCCTTGTACAGAAGAACCCAGGTCATCAGCGGGGTTTACACGCCTCTCCATGTCCCTGAGGACATCAGTTACCCTTAGATGAAGACACTGGCTTCTCAACTCTTTCATTAGCTGTGAAATACCCAGACAGGAGAGCCAGGCCTGTCATCCCACCGGAGCACATTCAGGACCTTGGCTTCATCCTGAGGCTGGCGGCAAAGGACGCATCAGGCAGCTGGTATGTGGCCTCCTGCCCTCCCGCCCTAACTCTGTCCTTGCACGTGCCCTCCAGGCTGTGTGCCCACAGCGTTCGCCCCAGACCCAGTCACGTCCCACTGACAGGCAGGCGTAAGGCCTAAGACAGGCATATGGGCGATGCTTGCATGTATGGAGGACTCTCCACACTGTAGACACGGAGCAGCATGCCGTCTCCCCAGGAAGGGGCAGAGGACAATGGGGATTACACCTGAAGGGGCTCAGAGACTCCCTTTGGGAAGAGGAGGAAGTTCAGGTTGGAGGTGCAGGGGGTGACAGGACAAGGGGTGTGGACTTGGTGCTCTCACACTGTTCACATCATGGTTATGGGTAAAGCTGATGTATTGTGTACTTTACCACAAAAACATGTAGTCACAAAAATGCAAGACTCCTCTGTGACCCAGAAGGAACTAAGTTGAAATATTTTCAGCCATTGTATCTGCAGCCATGTTCTGTCCTGTTGTCTCTCCTGCTCTCCTGGAGAGCACCTTAAGCATTTCGTGTCTCATCGCTGAGGGTTTGCTTGGGTTCCTTTTGTCCTCTTTATTCCTCCCAAAGTCCAAAGCAATTACAATTTCATTCATGAAGACCTCACAGAGCAATCACATCTCCCAGGACAGGAATTAAGCTCAGGACAGGGGCCTCTGTCCCAGGTCAGAGCAGTTGAGTTGTGAGCAGGTGGGGGGCAGGGAGACAGGGGACTCAGGGTGTAGCACCCCAATAGCTCAAGGAAAGTTGCCTATTGGGAAAATTGATAGCAATGCACATGTAAGAAATCAGCAGTGGAGATTGTGAAAACCCTCATGGTTTATGTGACAAGGTTATGTGAAAGATGATCAACCACTATCCTGATTGAAAGTTATATTCTATCACTATTTGTTTCGAAGCATCCCAAGCATCCCCAATATTATTTACTAGATACTTACCCAGTGTGTCCACATACAGTTATTTAGTAAATCCCAACAGTGCTGACACACATGTGATGGGCAACTCAGGCCTGAGCTCCTGGGCCTGCACCACACATGATGAACTCAAGCGCCTCTGTCAGCCATGCCCCTCTTCACAAACCCTTCTCTTCTGTTTTTTCCTTGCCTTTCATGTACTCCCAGCTACATCCCGCTTCTACCCCAAACAATCTCTGCTCATCACCCCATCCCCAACAGTTTTGTTTGGCTGAACTTGCCACAAACTTGATGGATAATTAGACTCTTGATTGTGTTTTAGGAGTGATAAGTGCTCAGTACTTTTATATAGTACAGGAGGAAAAAAAGAAACAAAATAAACTGTTAAAAACAAAAAATGAAACACTTGGGATATCACCAGAGAAGCTCCACAGAGTCAGATTGAGCAGATACTTGCTGTGTTAAGAAGCAGATGGTTACCCACCCCACCACAGATTCAGGCATGGGGGGTCACATTCAATCTCTGGAGGGTCTGCCATAGGGTAAGGAGACAGCATTCAGCCTAGTAATTCCCAAGTTCCCCAGAGCCCCTTCCTTTCTTAAGAGTCACGATTTTTTCCACCCGAATGTGACCCCCTACCAGTGCATATGGATTGCGGTTCTTCTAGGCCCTCAGTACACAGACCTTTCTGTGTGAACCAAAGAGGTATAAGGTGATAGCACATATCTTGATAATCAACATAATCAGGAAGAAATTTGTGGTTTTGGGGCCTTGCCCTGACTTCACATCCACTATTTAAAAGCTATAAAGAAGAATCAGGCCCCATATCAGATCTGATCAGCCTTTCAGAGAAGATGCTGCTTTTCCTATTCTTGTTGGCCAGTGTCCCACTCTCTGGGGCTGAAAGAGGTAAGTGACCATCTCTATTCTTAGATGTCTAATTTATTCTGGCTGCAACAATCTAAGTGTCCCAGCAAGACTCACTATGAATGTTCCTTGCTTTAGTCTATTCCTAGAAATTTGCTAAATCCCAGATCTTTGTCTGAGTATACTCGTCACAGAAATTACAGGGAACCTGGGGTTCCTCCCTTCCATGGCTCTCACTCCTGTCACCTGAACAGGGACTTATTATTAGGTTGGAACAGGATGCAGGGGAAGGGAAAGCTGGAATTGATGCCTATAATTTCCATTCTGCACACCTAAGACAGGTTATTCACCCCAGGAGCCATCTCTGGATCAAGAATGAAATAGCCATCTCACACTAAATGTCCTTTATGTCACCCTGTCCCTGTTCTCACTCTCCTGGCCTCTCAGCAACGCAGGCAGAAGACAGACTCTGAGGGATCAGAGTGTGGCCCCAGCACTGCTCCAATACCTAATGGAGATGGGCTCCCAGGGGATCCTTCCCCTCAGTCCCCCACTCATTCTGATTTCCAGTGCATTCTAATATTCCTTCTGCCTCCTTCTGTCAATGCCTTAGAAAGTTAAATCTGTGCTGGAGTTCAAACTGCTTTAGGACCACTGCCTACTTCTGATAAAAGGAGGTTTTGGCACTCTTCAATGTGTGCCCAACAGGACTTTGTGGGGTATTTACTATGTGGCTCACTCAGGATGGGGAGAAGGAACCCAAGCTTTCCATTGCACAGGGTTCAGGTCTTTGACTAGACCAGTTCTGGAGTTGACATGACCCTGGGGGTCTGAGAAGTTGGGGAAATAGAGAGTAACTCCAGGTTCTAGATCATCTACCCCGAACACAGATCCTCTCCCCAATCATGTATTTGAGTGTGTGTGATACACGGTAGTGCTGAGCTCGACACTGGACAGAAGGAACTGAGAAATAGGCAAGGACACACTCCCCTGCACCCCATGCTGCCTGGGAAACCCCAAGACCCCTGAGGACCACAGCAGCCCTCCCCACCTGGGACCATCCCAGTCATGTTTCAGACCTCCAGATACTGCCTGTCCTTTTTTTTCCCTTTATAATATGAAAAGATATTCAGGGAATTTTTTCTTTCAGGGGAGATATATGGGGGCAAAGAGGCCAAACCACACTACCGGCCCTACATGGCATTTGTAAGTTTCTATGATGATTTGGTTCCAGTGTGAATAAAAGACAACTTCGTGTTGACAGCAGCTCACTGCAAAGGAAGGTGAGAACAAATGGGGCCTTAGCATCCTGGGACCTCCTACACAGGGGGCAGCACAGAGGAGCCAAGGCAGAGCCCTGGAGCATCTGCCAAAGCGCCTGGGTCACCTCTGCACATGGCTAGAGGCTGTGCTGTAGAGACTGCGCTGAAGTTCCTGACTGTTTTATATGACCAAACAACATCAGGTGGCTTGGTTCCAGTGTGGGGTCTTGCTGACTTTCCAACTAATAAAAGACAACTTCGTGTTGACAGCAGCTCACTGAGCAATGGAAGGTAAGGAGAACAAATGGGGCCTTAGCATCCTGGACCCCCTACACACCCCAGGCCATTCAGGAAGGTTCCTGAGCACAGAGGAGCCCTGTGACCTGTGTGACCGGGGCAGAGCGAGTGTGGGGTTCCTGGAGCATCGGGGGGGAGAGGGAAGCTGCCAAAGCACCATCACAGCCTGGGTCACCTTTGCACAGCAAGGAAGGGGACACCCACCCTCCCCTCCTTCCAATCTACTCAGCTGGGGGTCTAGAGGCTGCGCTTCAACCTGCCCTCCAGAGACTGTGCTGAAGTTCCTGACTTCACATCCCCCTTGTTTTACAGAAATATGACTGTCACGCTGGGAGCTCACAACATCAGAGAGAGGGAAAACACCCAGCAGGTCATCCCTGTGCTCAGACCCTTCCCCCACCAGGACTATGATGCTGAGAGACTTGTCAATGACATCATGCTGTTGAAGGTACTGTCTTGCTGACTTTCAGGGGCAACTGCACAACTTATGGGAGTGAGCACCCCACCATTCCAACAGGTTCTCACCTCCTTCCAACTGGATGCTCATCCTGGGTCAGTGAACAAGAAAGGGGATGGGAGGAAGATTCTGACAGGGGTTGTGGGAGGGAAGTGGGTACAGGCAGCCTCCCCACAGGCCTGAGCCCAGCTGCAGGGAGGGACCTGAATGGGCTTCTCTCCTTTCTGACCAGCTGAAATCCAAGGCTCGTCTCACCAAGGCTGTGCAGACCATTGCCCTGCCACGTCATAAGGACTGGGTGAAGCCAGGGCAGGTGTGCAGCGTGGCGGGCTGGGGAAAAATGGATGGTGGCATCATGCCAGTCACACTTCAGGAGGTAGATCTGGAAGTGCAAGATGAGCAGAAGTGCAAGGATCTCTTCAAAAGGATGTACAATAACTCCATCGAGCTGTGTGTCGGAAAACCTAAGTCCAAGAAGGCCACTGGAGGTGTAAGGAGACAATCCCCTTCCCAGTCTTGCTCCTGTGTCATGTGACATTGGGGTGCATGACCAGGCTCCTCCAATTGCACAGTATAGTGGGCCAGGTCCCATAGTGGGTGGAGGCATGTCTTGCCTGCAATGGGGGGCCTAGGCGTCTCTCAGCAGCCGTCCTCGTGTCCTTTGTCCTGGAAAAACAAGAAGGTACTCTGGGGCTAGGTAGAGCTGGAGAGGGTGGGGGACAATGGTGGGGGACTCACATAGGCCTGGACCCTTTCCTACCCCTACAATTAGAATGAAGGTGACTGATGACCATTCAGTCCCTTCCCCTTGGAAATCTGCGTGCTGAGAGTGAGGCAGGAGAACACTGGGGAGAAAATCAAGCTGAGAGGAGGGAGCCAAGGGGCGTGGCTGAGGCTTGTCACTTTTCTGTTTACAGGGGGACTCCGGGGGTCCGTTCGTGTGTAAGGGTTTGGTCCAGGGCCTCGTCAGCTATGCTTACTCGCGTCCTGAGGTGCTTCCCCGGGTCTTCACCAGGATCTCCCACTTCCTGCCCTGGATCCGCAGAACAATGGCTTAGCTAGACCTGGACCACCTGCTTGGGGGCTCCTGTCCCTACTTGTGGGAACAGCTGTCTGATTCTCAATAAAGAGCATCTTCCAGTGGGATGGTCTGTGTCTCTCTCGTCCTTGACTATTTCTCTGGACACCAGTTGTGCACCAGGTTCCACTCCATCCTCTTTTCTCTCTCCTGCTCACCCCAAATCCCAATTGCTTTTTTCAAGGAAATAGAGCAGATATTGAAATGTAAGGTACCACAATATATACCATGGAATATTACTCAGCATTCAAAAAAGATAAACACATGCAATTTGCAGCAACATGGATGGCACTGGAAGGGATCATGCTCAGCGAAATAAGCCAGAAAGAAAAAGAAAAATACTGGATGGTCTCACTCATAGCAGGAATCTAGAAAACTTAAATAAGGGGCCAGGAAAATGAATAACTATAAGAAAGTGAAAATCAAAATCAACAAAAAACTATGAACCAGAGATACTTTTTGGGGGCGGGAGGGGAGGGATTGGGGTCAGAATGGGGGGATTGCAATTGTATGGGGAATATAAAAATAAATTTATTAATTAAAAAAATAAACACATACAGCTTCTATAAAAAAAAAAAAGAAATGTAAGGTACCACAAAGACTCTGAATAACCAAAGAAATTGTGAGAAAAACAAAGAATGGAGGGGATACACTTCCAGACTTCAAGCATTATTGATACAGATTCTACCAAGTCTGCACATTTCTTTGGCTAAGATGGCCATTTTATCCAATCCATGATCAAGAAAGGATATACTTCCATTTCTTTGTATCTTCTTTTATTATTTTTAAGTGTCAAAGTTTTTATTGTACAAGTCTTTCATCTCTTTCATTAAGCTTATTCCCAGGTACTTAGTTTTTTTGATGCAACTATAAATGGGATGATTCTTGAAATAATAACACTAAAAGTGCTTATAATAAATTGTACAGTGCAGCTAAAGCACATGGAGGGAAATTTATAGTATTAATGCATAATGTAAAAATTGAAATTATTGAGCTGATGGTGTATCTTGAGAAGTTAAGACCCTGAACAAATCAATGAAATAGGAGGAAGAAATAAGAGGCAACAGAAACAAAATGAAGTACCTGTCAAACATACAGTAGAGAGATTAAATAAATAAAGATAGATTATTTGAGAAAACTAATAAAGATGACAAACCTCTGAAGAAACTGGTCAGGAAAGAGGAGAGAAGACAAATATTTAATATTTTTACAAACATTGCAGACCATTAAAAGTTAAGCCAAGAATATTATAAAAAATTTATGCTAATACATTTGAAATTTTAGATAAAATAGAACTATTACTTCCTAACAATTATTCAAGAAGAAGTTAAAAATTTAGGGAATACTAGAACTACAAAAGAAATTGAAAAACAATCAAAAACTTTTACATAAGTGAGTGACCTAGATGGTTTTACCATTAATTTCTACTGAAATATAAGGAAGGAAAAATTTTAACCTACAAACTCTTCAAAAAAAGAAAAAAGGAGGAGCATCACCCATGTAATTTTGTAAGGCTGACATAATCTTCCTCCAAATAGCCAAACAAAAAAGGAATATTAAGGAGCAATCTCATTCACGATTCAGAGACACCAACAGCCTGACACCGCACCAACCCTCACTGGTAGCCCAGCCACATGGACAAGCAATAATACATTGGGGGCAAGTCAGATCTGCGCTGAGAAGGCAGATCTCATGTCTCCTTCCATCAACTGATGCAATGTGCCACAGAAACAGATCTAAGAGAAAGGTCATTATCTCAATAAACAGAAAAGCATTTGATAACATTAAACATCCACTCATGGTAATCAAGAACACCATTTGGCAGACCAAAATAGAAAGAAACTTTGTAAAACCTGATAAAGTGTCTGTAAATCTACAGAAGCCTTTAGTCCGCTCCTCATCTAGTGAGAAAACCGAGGCTTCAGTCCTGCCCACGAGAATGCAGGAAAGCCCTTCTCTGCAGACTGCTGTGCACGCAGAGCGTGGTGCTGATCGTTTCCTCCCGGCCCTTCCTTTGAGCAGCCCTGAGCCTGGAAATAGCCCTAAGTGGGACCATTTTGGGGAAGCCTATAGAGACCAAAAGAGGGGAATGTGGAAGAAGGGGCACAGCAGAGCCGGGGGTTTGCAGCCCTTCCTACTTCTAGTCCCGGTTCCAGGGACCTGACGCTCTGACAGTGATGCATGCTCTGTGTCTGGGGCGCTGGGGTCCTCTTGTTCAGGGGACACCATCGGGTCACAGAGGCCACACTCCACCCCCGCCCTGCTTGGGCAAGCCTGCCAGGCACCATCAGCTAGCACGTCCAGGTGGCTAAGCTCCTGGAGAGAGAGCGCTGTGATGGCCCCTCACTGAGCTGACAGTGAAACAGCTTTGATTTCTTCTCCATGTTCTGGTCAATCAGAATAAAAAATGAGGGGGCCAGTGTGGTCATAGCTCAAGGGATCTTTTTATTTCTGAAGAAAAACTGAGGAGGAAAAGATTTCTGGGATACCATTGCCTGTAGATGACCCCTTCTCAGCCCCAGGGAAAGTTTGTGTCTTAGTTCTTCCTGACCCCAGGCTCAGGCTTACTCACTCAGCCCCTGATTCACAGCTAAAGCTTTCTCTGTCTCTCCTCTTTCCTCTGTCTCTCCCTCTCTCAGTTGATGGCCCATTACGCTAGCTGCTCTTTCATTTTTGGATGTGGGTAACACAGCACACGGTCATGCACAGAAAAGGCTTCTTGAGGGGCAGATGCCATCAGCCAACAGCTACAACCTCATGGAGGTGCTCCCACAGGTAAAAGTCAGTCAACTGTAGAAGGTTCCTACTTAAAATTTTTAATTGCATTTATTGAGGTTATGTTGGTTCACAATACTGTATATGATTTAGGGGTGCAGATTGTCAGCTTTTCAGATGTATGTTACCATACCATGTACACAACAAATATACCCGCAGTCCTCTACCTCAGCCCATGGGGCCTTCTCCCCACCTTTTTCACTCCTACCCTCCCCCTTTAGTAGCTCCAATTATATAGTTAGATTTCTAGGGTTTGTTTTGGTGTAGATTTGTCTGGTTTTTTGTTTTCTTTATATTCTACCATCCATCTGACATATTTCATGTAGCATTATCTGCTTTGGTTCCATCCATGTTGTTGAAGGTGGAAAGATTTCATCTTTTTTTTTTTTTTACAGCTGAGTAGTATTCCATTGTGCATATATATACCCTTCTCAAAGGCCACTAACTTCTGAATTCCACATTTCCCAAACCCTATATAAAGTCAACTCTTGCTTGAGTCAGAGACAATGTCCTTTCCAGCATCTCTCCCTTGCTTAGCAAGGAATAAATTTGGAATTTTGCTTCAAACACTGAATGCTATTCTCTTTCTGTCACATTCCTCGTGCTGGAGATGTCCCAGAGCTGAGTGACCTGGCCACTTGTCTGTCTCTTGAGACCTGCTGGAAGCAGTAAGCTGCTGTGGTGACATAACAGATCACAAAGCAGGGCACCGTTCCTTGACTCAATGCTATTTCCTCATAGTCACTGCCATGGGCTTGCGTCTCCCAAATAAATTGTTGCCACTGGAACCCTTGCTTCAGGCTCTGCTTTCTAAGGGAATCAGCTTAGGACAAAGTGGGAAGGATAACTTTTGGCATTTCTTCCTATTTCAGGCTAAAAATTAAAGCTCAGATGGAGTCTTCTCACAAATCATAAACTAGACAACCCATGAAGTCCTTTCATCACAATCTTTTCTCCACATGGTGTCCCCTGCTGGCAATATTTGGATTTTTATTTCCAAAGGTTTATGGTGGAAGGCCTTTTCTCACCCCGTTTTAAAATGAGTTTCTGGGGGACTGACTGGGAATGTCACCGAAATATGTACTATTGGTAGAGCCAAGCAGCATACAGCCTCATCCTGGGCATTCTGAAACTCAGGCCTGCAGAGGAGACGGCACCGCATGGAGAAATGAGAGGTCCATATTGGCAATAGTTTAGTAACAAAGGAAGAGTCCCACAAAGTCACCAGGAAAAACTGCTGGTTCAAAAGAGGTCGTATTTCCCTTCACTCTTCCACATACTTGATTCTTCCTGTTTTGCCTTATCGAAGCAGACAATGACACAAATAGCCAAATAACTTCCATTCAGTTCAGTTCAGAATAATTAAACAGGCACGAGGGTGTGCTCAGTGACAGCCTTGGGGAAAGTGTGTATGTAGAGCTTTCATAAACACCGTAGGTAATGATGGTGATTATAAGATGTGGGGGTACTAAGAGATTCTGTTTTCTGCATATTCTGAACTGATATTGTGAACCTTAAGTCTTGGGTGAATCTAGAGCAAAAGGAGAGGAGTAATGTTCCATTGCAGGCACCAGATTATTTGCTGGTAAGAGAAATAAACTGATGGGTCATAAATGACTTAGTAAATACTAGAAGACTATCAAAGTCAATGATTAAAAAAAGGAGAGACTTTGGGGGGGTGAGGAGGTCAAAAAAAATAAATGACTTTTCAGGAACTTCTTGGGATCTCTAAGGAATCAGGATTGGAGGAATCTTATAACTCATTTGTGTTTCCAAGTGCATTCCTGCATTTTTTTTTTTTGAATCCATGTAACAAAAACTTCATCTTTTACTTTTCCTGTCTCTCTACAAATTATTTCATTCCTGGCTTTTTACCTCATCCCTTTTGCTTTCTTTTCTTGGATGACTTTTACATGGGGTGATGTGCAGCCCCTTGCTGCATATTATACCTCCCACCATTGAGTTTTCTTTCTAGGAACATGGCATTCTAAAAATGGACACCAGCTGTGTGTGGTCAGTGCTGCCTTTTTATATGAGGTATGAATTTTCATCTTTAGAATTCCACCAGTTTTTCCTGTATGGTTTCCACAATTATACCACAAACATAACTTATACTACACATCATCTGGTATCTTGCTTCTAACCCTAACTCTAGGCAGACTGAAGGAGGGCACACATGATATACTCAGGGAAATCTGCAGACAG